TTTCGATTTAGTGACACAAATCGACGCAAGTACCCAAGGAACACACAAAACTATAATAAAAAATCAAAATGACTTTATTTTAATTCTTATCATCAATAAATAGTCAAATTTTGTAACAAAAAATCATTATTATGACTTTCATGACATCAAAATAAAATCATTTTGACTTTTTCTTGATTTGGTGTTCCTATAATATCGTTCTGTGTGTCTTTGTTACTCATGGAATGCAAAGAAAGATAGAACAACGCTTGTTTCGAGTTGTGTCAGTATGGAAAGCACTTCATGGTCGTAATTAGCCAAAAGCCGTAAAAAGTTGACTAATTACAGTCAAATCTGAGAAAAATAGTAAATTATGATTGGTTAATTTCTTAGAGTTTGCATCAATATATGCGAATATCATTGTTTATCTTTTGTTGAAAGATTAATAAATCAATTAAATTTCTTAATAGTTTATCATCGCACTTTACGCGCCTTGTGTTTAAATTAATGAACTTCTTAAGATTACACACAGATATATGTTTCTAACTATAGTCCATAATGTGTGGTTATTAATAAACGATCTTTAGCGACCCTCGGCAATCCGATGATTTAGACACAGATCTACCTGTCGAACCAAAGGAAAAATTAGGTGCTATAACAGCGCAAATTAGATGCTTGACAAGCAGCTCGGTCCTGTCTTTTGTTCTTTCAATCGAGAAAGATCTCTTCTTCTTAGGAATCTCTCGTAAATCACGCATCGCGGGACCCAATGCGAGCTTCCGCCGATCGATAAGTCAGCGGACGAGACCGACACATTCAACATTGTGCGTCGACTCGCGGTTGAACATGGTGGAAACGGTTATCCCGAATTTTTGCACCATCGACCTGCGGACGTCGAGCGACACGATTGGCGGAATCATCGCGGTACTTTCGTACTGGAAAAAGCTACGGTGGGAGAGAGGGGACGTCGATGAGGAGGATGCACGGATGGTGAACGCGAGGGGGAGAGAAAGAAAGGGAGAGGGAGAGGGAAAGA